CTGCAGTGCCAAGCCAGTCCTGGCCATCTCCAGCTGAACTGGGTTTCGTGGAGAGCCTGGGACACTCCTCAAAGCCATCCCCACTGCTGAACGCCACCTTCCTGCTGGGTTTCAGAGCAGTGACTGTCCCTGCTGGATAACTCCCTGGGAAAGGCTTCAAGTCACACTTGCACTTCTGAAAGCAGGAGATTTAAAAGCCTGACACTGATGGAATCTCGTCTTTGCTTACCAGGAGGCTGTGCCTTGGCAGCAGTCACTCAAACCCAGAATCAGAAACATTTTCCTTCACAGGACAGAGCTCAGGACACCAAGGAAAAAGCCCAATAATATCCTTAAATCCCCAGCTTTGTACACAGAGGTTAGCTAAGGCACAAAGGGAAATCTGTAACCTTCATTCCTATTCCAAATTCCTTTAAGGCTACCTGTGCCATCACTCCTATTTGTAAATGGTTCCTCTTCAATGACAACACAACCCAGATTTGGAACTCAGTGCCCTCGATCTGGACACGGAGCTTGGGCAATTGTGCCACCTCTGCCTCATTTCTGCAATAAAGGCTGCTAATGACACAGATCCTGCCTGGATTGAAAACAAAGGGGAACTGCAGGAGCTAGGCAGGAAGATCCATGCTAACTGTTCCAAAGCCGCCTTTACTTTTTAATGAGCACATCTGCATGCACAGCCCCTGCCAGCCCAGGCTGCTGGAGGTGCAGAGCAGGGGATGCAGAGTCGGGCATGCAAATATTTGTCTGTGCTGTGACAGCCCATGCAGCTGCCTGCAGACAGCTCAGGAATGCACACAAACCCCGGTGCCTGTGTGGTTTTCTCCTTAGCGAGCTGCAGAGTGAGAGATGTGACATATTCTGAATGCCTGCACACAGCTGGCTGTGGCACAGCCCTGCCAGGGCCCCGGTGACAGCTGGGCTGGCAGGGCTGCCCAGGCTGCCACAGCAATGCAGGCAGAGCCCAGACCTCCAGGAGGAATTCTCAAGGCAGGATGGCAAGATAAGACATTTAAATGAACTAATCTGCAGGGAGTTGCACGGAGTTCACATGAGTCATCTGGGTGTGGATGTCAATGTCTGGCCAAGGCGATAAGTGGATCCCCCCACCTCCCACACACAGGGTGTTATTCAGACATCACCTGATCTTCCTGGTGACTGCAGAGCCTCCAGAACCGGGGCCTTTGTTCCTGGGAATCACGGGAGGCACCCTCAGCATCCTTCCCCATGCTCCAAGCACGGAGCCAGCCCCTGTCTCTGCAGGATGGAGCACACACATAATCCTAACCCTAACCCTAACATCCCTGCTCTGGCCAGCAGTGCTGCACAAACACCAGGAGCTGAACATCATCCCTGCCACCAAGAGATGCTTCCCACATCCACAGCACTGTCTCTGTCATTAAACTGATATTAGGGGGCGGCTCAGGGCTGCAGTGCCAAGGGCAGCTGCTCCATGCCAGCTGCTGAGATCCATCTGCCATCTCCAGGCACCACGAGGCTGCCAGGGCAGGGGATGCAGGGTGGCTCAGGGCAGGGGACGCGGGGCAGGGGACGCAGGGTGGCTCAGGGCAGGGGATGCGGGGCAGGGGACGCAGGGTGGCTCAGGGCAGGGGATGCAGGGCAGGGGACGCAGAGTGGCTCAGGGCAGGGGATGCAGGGTGGCTCAGGGCAGGGGATGCAGGGCAGGGGATGCAGGGCAGGGGACGCAGGGCGGCTCAGGGCAGCAGTGGGGTGTGCACAGCCTCAGCTCCCCCCACCCCACCCCTGCAGCCCCATTCATTCCCTGAGCATCCCCAGCCATTCCCAGCACAGATTCCTGAGATAGCCCGAGTTTGACATCATCTGTGGCAGCAGGCACAGCTGCCCTCCTGATGAAAGGGAATATCATCCCTGTTTACAGCAGCAGCAATTCCAGCCTCCATCAGCAGCCTGGACCTGCAGCTACAAGCCCAGGGCAGCCTGGCCCTGCATGGACTGAACCAAACCAGTCCAGATCCAGAGCCACCAAGAGCCCCAAACTGGTGCCAGGACAGGGCTATGGCAGGGAGAGTGACAGTGGCACAGCAGCACTGCCAGAACAGTTAACAGATTTCATTTTACAGAATCCCAGACTGGTTTGGGTCAGAAGGGATCTTGAAGCTCATCTCAGTGGGCAAAGACACCTCTCACCAGCCCAGGCTGCTCAGGTCAGATCACTGCTGGGTTTTTTAATTTTGATTTTTTGATCAGTCTTCAGTGCCCTAAACTCAACTCTATTTCCCAGTGCACCTGTTGACTTCTTTCCTCGTGATGTGTTTGAACTTAATGAGCTTCTGTCTGTGAAGAAATATAAAATTCACTAAGGAACTGTAGTTAATAATTGATTTTCAAGGCTACAATTTCTTTTAATGTGGGGCCAGGATCGTGAAGGGTGCAGGATGAACGCTATGGGCCAGATCCAGCTCTGCCATCCCCAGTACAGTGGGAATCCTCAAAGCTGCCTTTCTACACACATTATTTTCAGACAAGAAAGCATCAAAATTCAAGATCACTCTTAAAGGTGCCTGAATATTTACTAACTGCAAAAATGAAATTGTCCAGGATTCTTTTGATACCACAGTGCTTAAAATATCCTTAAAGCACTGCACAAGCAGCACTGGAAGCAGCTCACAAACTGACAGCGGATATAATTTAAGTGTCCTAAATTCTTTTATTTTTTTCTTTGCTGTTTAGTAGTGCCGGAACAACCCACAAATACTAAATGGCAAAGGCAATTTTAAAAATTGTATTTTCCCAGGTTTTTTTTCTTTCATTTACCGAGGGGCAGAAACCCAAGAGCATTCTGCAGGCATTTTGTTGGGAGTCAGAGCACAGGTCAAACATCTGAGGTGTGTTCTGCCATCTCAGGGGGACTTGGAGCACACGATGCCTCCTAGCCCAGCTCCTGAAACTGGGTCCAGCAGCAGCTGAGCGCTGGTGCCACGCTCAGCCAGCCCGGGAGGACGTGCCCCATCTCTGTCACCATCCAAGATGCTACAGTGCCACCTTCAGTCGGAAACACGGGAGGAAAATCCCCTCAAAAGCCAGCCATGCCCCACAGAGGCTGCCCAGAGAGGCTGGGGCTGCTAAGGCAGCGCCTCCACCGTCAATCTCTGCCTTGGCACTCATGGAATTGATTGAATTTAAAGCTTTCCTCGGTCTGTCCCTCTGCATTCACGGGATTCGGCCCACAGAGGTTGGGGGGTCCCCATCCCTGGCAGTGCCCAAGGCCAGGTTGGATCACCCTGGGACAGTGGAGGTGTCCCTGCCATGGCAGGGGTGGCACTGGGTGGGCTTTGAGGTCCCTCCCAACCCAAACCAATCTGGGATTCTGTGAGCACAGAAAGCTTGAGGAACAGATGAACCAGGCTCCACCCAAATTATCCCTAAAAACACCTTAAATGGGAAAAAACCCACTTCTGGCTCCTCCAGCAGCATCTCAAACAGGTCTGGTAGAGAAAGAGATTCACCATGTTTTACACCCAGATTTTAGGGCAGAAAAGGAAGTTCTAATGTTAAAGGACACTGGGAAGAAATTGATTTTCAGAGTGAGCTTTGCCAAATGGCTCCTCAGGAATCCAGGGACTGCAGAGGACTCCAGAGCCAGGGCACAGCAGCCTGAGCCTGGGGCAGGATGGTGCCAGACACTGAGGTGAAATCCACATTTCCTGCCTGTTCCACACTCCTGCAGGTACACCCCGCATTCACCAGCCCTCACTGAGCCCTGCTCTCAGACCTTCATTTAAAACTGGCTCATGAAATGCAAACCCCACCAGCTACAGACACATCCAAAGCTCTACCTATGGTTACATAAAATTGCATCTGCATGAGACACTCTGGCTATGCATAATTTATCCCTACTCCCATGCACACACAGTAATTAGCCCTTGCTGACACTTAATGAATGGGAATTCTCATAAAAGTTCTCCAGTTTTTGTGCTTCATGCAAACATATTCAGTGACTAATTTTTGCTCCTTATCTAATCCAAGCCGTTCATCTGAAATAATGAATCGGGTGCCAACTGAAACTTTCTTTAAACTGGTTTTAACAACAACAAAAACACAGCACAAATTCATCTTTGAGAAGCAAAGGCACAACACAAAATTGTCTTTTAGAAGCAAAAGCCCTTCAGAAGAGTGCAGAGCTCCCCCCTGAAGTCATGCGTGCTGCGGGGGGATAAAGGAAGGGAGCAAAATAATCAGGCAGGCTGGAAAGCAGCAGTGATGCACTTGGTTATCTCACTGTGCTAATCCCCCGTCAGGTGACTGCTCACAAGATTGCTTTAAGCCCTCATTACTGAGGGAGAAGCAGGACGGGCGCTTTGGTGACCCCAGAATAACACGTCTGACCCGGGAGAGGGCTCGGGGCATTGCAGAGCCACCCCAGCGAGCTGGAACCCCCAGCAGATCAGGGAACAGAGGCACAAAGTGCTCTGCTCTACAGAAATCACACTGAAATGCTGTAAATCAAACAGCTTTTGCTCCCCAGCCAGAAGACACAAATTAGTGACTGGGCTTCGGATGTAATTCCAGGAGCTCTGAACCTGCAGCTTGGCAGAGAGGAGGCTTTTAATTCTCTCATTAAAAGCCCTTCCAATTGAGGAGACGTTAATTGTAGATTTTCACAATAATAAGCTCAAATCATATGACAACAAATCCTACAAGTCAGTTGGAGATATTTATACCAGGACAGGTTATAACCTGTTGGTTGTGCTTCAGATACTTCCACCAGCTTGAAAATACCCCCCCTAAATGTGAATTTAAGGCAGAACAGCTTCTCTTCCCCTGATCCAAGCCACAGGGAGTACCTGGCTGTCACCACTCACTGTCACCTACCCCAGCACTACTCCAGAGGGCTCTGGAGGCTGGGAAGTCACAGGTACATGTACAAAATAAATTAAATACAATACAGAGCACTGAAGCCAATATTCCACTGGATTGGTCTAATCTAGGAAAAAAAAAAAGCAAAACTCCAAACTCACCTTGATCATTTCTGCCACATAACTCTCTGGTCCTGTGTATTCTGTGGAATCTTTGACTTTCACCAAGACAATAAAGCACAAATAGTGCCACATGTTGTGCTCCTCCTTAATGTGCTCTTCAAAGGTCACTGTCTTGTTGTCAAACTTATCTCTCTCCAAACCTGTGAGAGGACACAGGGAGAACCATGAGTGCTTGCCAGCTGGGGACCAGGGAAATCAGATCTAGGACAAAACTGGCTTCTAAAGTCTGCTGCACTTCTGCAAGCCGCTGTCATTCTGGAATGGACACTGAATATCAGCATAAAATGTGAAAAACACCCAGGGAGAAAAGGAAGGAGAGAGGAAGGAGAGAAGGAAGGAGAGAGGAAGGAGGAGAGGGAGGAAGAGAGGGAAAGAGAAAGGAGAAAGAAGAGGAGAAAGGAGAAAGAAGAGGAGAAAGGAGAAAGAAGAGGAGAAAGGAGAAAGAAGAGGAGAAAGGAGAAAGAAGAAGAGAAAGGAGAAAGAAGAAGAGAAAGGAGAAAGAAGAAGAGAAAGGAGAAAGAAGAAGAGAACGGAGAAAGAAGAAAAGCGAGGGAAAAAGGTCAGACAAGAAAGAGAAGAAGAAGAGGAGGAAGAGAAGGAAAAGAGAGTAAAGTGTAACAAGTACTGCTTATATTTATTATACATAACAGAAAAAATATTGGTTAAAAAAGGCAACAACCCCGTAGAAAGCAGTTAGTTGGATTTCATAACACATCTCCTATTTTTGGGCAAACTGATAGCAAAAGCAACGTTTGCTTTGCAGCAAATTTCCAAAGGTTCCCCCGTCAGGCTGCGTGTTATGCAACACGGCAGGACCATGTCAGTCAGCCACAGCACCTCCACTCCCAACCTGCTGGTGGGAAAAGCTTCCACAGGCACGCTTGGAAGAAATGACTGCTCATAAAAATCCCTCCTGTTCCCACAGGAAGCTGCTCTTGGAGCAGAGGGGAAGCAAGAGCTGGAGTCTGGAGGGAAAATGGGATCCTGAGCATTGCCCATCTGCTCCTGCTGCCAAGCTGCAGTGCACGTGGTGCCCAGGGACATGAACTGAGCAATGCCAGCAGGAACAGCAGCACTTCAGGGCTTTTGCCTCATCCTTGCAGCTCTCCCTGCCCCACCCAGAGTAACCCCTTCTTGTTAAGGGTGTCTCCACACTTACCACAAATAAAGCAAGTTGTTTTTAAAATTTCTTCTTTCTTCTGTTTTTCACTCCTTAAATCAGCAAAGGTGTCAATGATCACCCCAAAAATCAGGTTCAGGACGATGATGATGACCATGAAGAAGAACAACAGATCATAGATCACTCTAGCAGCAAAGAGAGGTTCCTGCAAGACACATTTTGGAATTATTAACAGCTCAATCAGCTACACATCTCACCCTTAATACCACCCTGCCCCACACCCCTTTGCCTGAGATTCTCCCCTGATGATGCTCTCCAACAGGAACTCACAACTCAAAACATTAAATGAAACTAAAATGCAAAAATCACTGAAAGAAAAGCCAAATCAGTCAGCTGCCAGTGTGGGATCTCTGCAGAGCTGCTCTTCCTGTGTCCAAGATTTTGGACTTCTCTCACTTTCATAAGAGAAAACTCTTCTGGCACTCACTGAAATTTGTTCTCACCCCTCCCTGAAGCCCTTCCAAATTACATCCTTATATTAATCTGCAGTGTATCAACAGAGGAGCAGTGTGGACCATTAAGTTTTTAACTGGAATTTAATATCATTAATTGCATTTAATAGCCATGTAAACTGGACCTTTCAGTGTACATTCCACATTTATTGCAGGCCTGAATATCCCAAATATCCAGCCCCCATTTTCACAATCATCCTGCCAGTCAAGTGCCAAACTTATTATTAAGAATTAAGTAACTCTGAAGGCTAAGTTTTAGAAAAAACTTTGAAATGTCAGTGAAAACAAAAAAGCACTGCCCCCAGTGTGGCTTTGGAAGTGACAGCCTGAGCCTCAGATAGCAGAGACATCACAGAATGGTAGAATGGGTGGGAAGGGACCTTAAATCCCATCCAGGGACCCCTCCCACTGTCCCAGGTGCTCCAGCCCCAGTGTCCAGCCTGGCCTTGGGCACTGCCAGGGATGCAGGGGCAGCCCCAGCTGCTCTGGGCACCTGTGCCAGGGCTGCCCACCCTGCCAGGGAAGGATTTCTTCCTAACTGCTGGACACAAAAGCTTAAACAGCAGTCAGAGGGGGAGCCAGAGGGGTGTTATGGAAAATTCCTGCTGCTTATCCTGGTCCTCACTCTGATGACAGCTCCAAACCTCATCATCCTTCCTCCCCCACACTCCCACCAGCCCAGCCTGGTCCCTGTCCTCCCCTCCCTCCCATCTCTCACACTGCCTCTCCCCAGGGATGCTGCCCTGGCACCCAGCAGCCAGCACAGCATTCCCTGGGCCCTCAGGCTGCTCCCTCATTGCTCTGTGCCCATCTCCTCAGCTCACACTGCTGCTCCCCCATGCTGCTCCCTGGACAGCCCAGAGGTGATGAGAGCCTGGGAGGGGTGCCTGGAGCTCAGTGGGACCCCAGGGATGTCCCCTCAAGGGATGTCACCCCCCAGGGATGTCTCACCCCAGGGATGTCCCCTCCAGGGATGTCACCCCCCAGGGATGTCACCCCCCAGGGATGTCACCCCCCAGGGATGTCCCCCTCCAGGGATGTCACACCCCAGGGATGTCCCCCCAGCAGCAGCGTGTCCCCCCGTGCGTTCAGAGCAGAGCACACCCGCTCTCCCAGCAGAGCAGATCCAGCCCTGCTCAGCAGCAGCCTCCACCCCCAGCCCTGGTGATTTACCTCTTTGGAAGGTTTCCTGAGCACATCACCTACTCCACCCCCGCTCCTGAGCCCATGACTCAGAACAGTAACAATGCACATCAGCAGCGTCTCGCACGTATGCTCCTTGTTCTCTTCCTCCAGCTCCTCGGTGAGCAGCTCTGGGAACACAGCAAGCAAAGACACGTTTCACAGCCAAGATTAGCTCTAAATCCTCCTCTCCATTCTTTGCTGGCTGTGCTCTCTCCCCCCTCACACTGCCAGCCTGTGCTGCAGGTCCCTGTAGGTTCATTCCCCAAATCATCAATCACAGAACAGTGTGGGTGGAGGGAACCTCACTCACCCAGCCCCTGCCCAGCAGGGTCACCTGGAGCAGTGACACAGAGCATCCAGGTGGGGTTGGGATGCCCCCAGAGAGGGAAACTCCACAATTCCATGGGCAGCTGCTCCAGGGCTCTGCCCCCTCCGTGGAAAGCAGCTCTTCCTCATGCTGAGGCAGGACCTGTTCATGGCCACTGCTCCCTGTCCTGTCACTGGGAACCACTGGGAAGGGTCTGAGACCATTCTCTGACACCCCTGGGGACATTGTGAGGATTGATGGGATCCCCTCTCAGTCTCCCCTGGACTAAACAGGCCCCAAACAGTCTCTGCCCATAGGGGAGATGCTCCAGACCCCTCCTCACCCCATAACCTCCCTGGACCCTCTCCAGAGCCCCCTGGGAGCAGATCTCCTCCCTGCCCTCCTCTCCCCATCCCCACCACCGTTTTCCCTTGTGCCTGAACTGCTGCCTGTGACTGGGTGCAATCTCTCTGCATGCCTGCTCTCATGCACAGCTCAGCTCAGCAGATGCCTGTTTATACAGAAGCCGAGCTTTCTGACAGCTCCGAGGACAAAGTGTTGCCTCTTCCACTCTCCCCTGGTGCCTGACAGATTGCACAGCCTTTGGGCTGCACTCAAAATGGCAACTTCCACTCGGAGCTTTCAAATGGCTAAAAGATCACTGCTTGTGGAAACAGCATTGTGCCAGAAAAGCAGCACACCTCTCCTGACCTTCTCTTCGCTCAGCTCCAGGCTCCAACTTCGCTGCTTCACTTGCAGAGCTGCTAAAATCCACTCCCCAACCTCACACACTCCCCTGTTCCCATTAAACATCTCCCAGAAACGCTCCTGAGCAGATCCCAGCCTCCCACAGGCAGCCCTGTGCACCCCTGAATACCCAAAACCCGAGAGCAGTGGCCAAATATGGGCACCAGGAACACCCCTGAGCACACAGGACCCTGGAATTATTCTGATTATTTGTGATACAAAAACATCCCTGAGCTTTCCTTCCTGCAGCCAGGGAGGAGCTGAGAGAAGCAGCTTTTCCTGCAGCTTTTCCTGCAGCAAGGCTGAATTTTACTGTCCCAGAGAGGACCCCTGAGCCCAGCAGAGCCTCTGCTCCTGTGAGCAGGGCTGGTGGCATCACTGACCATGCAAGAGCTGCCCTTCCCAGAGAAGCTGGGAAGTTCTGTCTGCCCCTCCCAGCCAGCACCGTAAATCTCCCACATGGAAATTACATTTTCTAGAAATAAAACTGAAATATTTCAATACCCAGGTAATATCTCACTTTCTTGATCTCTAAAGCCCCCAAACCTATCCTTGTCTACTTAATCCATCGAGCACTTCTTGCCATGATATTAAAAGAGTTTCCTTAGTTTGAGACAGAACAATGCTGCTAATAAACCATATTTCACAGGGCATTATCTTCTGAGATCACATTTAATAGCCTTATGTTTTAAAATAATAAACTTTGCAAAGAGGCCAACTGCATCTCTTCCTTCTCCAATTGATGCAGAAAATTAAAGAGTATGGCAGTGTTTTATGAAGTCTGGTTTAGTTGTAAGTTTCTCTGCTTTAGCCACTTCATCTAACAGATGTTATTTATGCTGCTGGCCTAAATTAATCCTATCTCAAGTTAATCTCGTGATAGCTTTGTTCTCAAATTTATTGCATAGGATTTTCTGAAGAAGTCATTTTAATTGAAGGTGATTAAGCAAAGAAAGAGTGCGAGCTCAGGGTGTGAGTCAGGAATCCCAGGGAGGTACTCACGGTCCGAGGGGATGATGGAGGAGCAGTTCTCACTGCTGCCTGCCTTGCACACATCTGAGTAGAGGAACTCCCCAGTCATGGTCTCACCGGGCTCTGTGTGATCTGAAACCACAAAATGCTGCATCAAAGGATGCTCCAACACCCTGCAAGGTGACTCCTCAGGTATTGGGGCTCCCCATCACACTCAGTGTGCAACTACAAGGCATTTAGAGCAGTACCTTACCCTAGAGTTTAGAAGGGCACAGTTACTTCCTGATTTACACATTCCATGGCTTTAAATTCAACCACAAAACCTTTCTTTAGTTCCCAGAATCCCAGATTCACTGAGGTTGGAAAAGACTTCCAAGATTCTTCATTTAGTGGCAGATGCCCCAGCCCAGAGCTGAGTGCCACATCCTTGGGCACCTCCAGGGATGGGCACTCCAAACCTGCCTGGGCAGCCCCTTCCAAGGCCTGAGCACCCTTTCCATGAAGAAATTCCTGCTGCTGTCCCACCTGGAGCTCATTCCCCGTGTGCCATCCATGCCCTGGGGAACAAGAGCTCATTAACACAACCCACGGGAAGGAGCAGCTGGCACTGACCTGGCAGCAGGGTCTCGTTGGGCAGCTTGTCCACTTCCAGGATGAAGTCATCCTTGAAGAAGAGGTAGCCCACGATGGAGAAGAGGTAGACCAGGATGAGGGCGAGCACGGCCGTCAGGATGATGGAGCGCCCGTTGCGCGTCACGCTCTTGATGACGTTGAGCAGCGTCTCCTCCCGGTACACCAGGTCAAAGAGCTGGGGACAGCCACGGCAGCACATGGGGCACCAGCAGCACTGCTGGCACCTGTCCTGGCCCCAGCGCCCTGGGGCAGCTGTGCCCTCCCTGCAGCAGCCTGGCCAGCAGCCCAGGTGTTCCTGCCTCGGCGCTAGGCACACACCAGGCTGCCAGCACAGGCTGCTGCCTGGCTCTAATTTACAGTATTAGCTACCCCCTCACAGCCTCCAAACAGCTCACTGCAAATTGCAATTTGCTGTTTTCTTTAAATCTTCATTTATTGAGCATTTCATTAAATAAGCGATATTTTTTCCCAAAGTCCATGTTTGGATTTCTCTGCTGATGTTTCCTTCATTTTTCACTGGGTCTGGGACAACCCACAGCAGAGCCCAGGTTGTGGCTGTGATCCTGGTGGATCACAGACAGCTATTTGTTAAACTGGACCTCCATGAACACAGCAAATAACCAGCTCAGGTACCAGAGGATGTGGCAAACACCAACAAAGGCACAAAAATAGCCTGTTGTGAATGGGATTCAGCTTTGCTTCAACACTGACACATCTACATCACCATCACCAGATCCCCTCCTTCAGTGTTATTCTAGAAGAACTGTGCTGTGCAAGGTGAATCCCACCCCAGAGAGAGGGAATGTGTGCCAGGATCTGTGCCCATCTGTGAGGGCTGGAGCCTGGATCAGCCATGGAGACACTCCAGAGTCATCCAGCTCTCAGAAAGCACAGACACTGTGCTACATTATTGATAACAACACAGCAAAGCATCACAGCCCACCTCATTCTGCCCCATGGCAGGGACACCTCCACTGTCACTGTCCCAGGTGCTCCCAGCCCTGTCCAGCCTGGCCTTGGGCACTGCCAGGGATCCAGGGGCAGCCCCAGCTGCTCTGGGCACCTGTGCCAGGGCTGCCCACCCTGCCAGGGAAGGATTTCTCCCTCATACCTCATCTAGACCTCTCCTCTTTGGTTTAAATCCATCCCCCTATGTCCTTTCCCTATCTGTGCAACAAGCCACACATCAGCAGAAGGGATGTGGCAGGAGTCCTGCTGTCTCCCTAGGTAACTTCTCCTAAAGAAAACCTTCAGTCTGTGGCTTTTCCCAGTGTCTGTCCAACAGCTTCCCAGCAGAAAAGCAGAAATGTTCCTGGATATGTCCAAGATGGGACTTCACCAAGAGAGCAGAAGATGTTCTGAGGGCCAAGCAAACACCCACCAAGAGGCTGTAGAAGAACTCGTGCACGAAGAGCCCCAGGGCACAGATGAGCAGGTACAGCAGGTGATAGAGGAACTCCACGTCCATGATCATGGCCTTGTACCCTCGCGTGAAGGTTCCGCAGTTACCCACAAAACTCATCAGGAAAATGATTTTATTACAAACCTAAGGGAAGATCAACCATAAATTAGGTACAATATCAGGGAAAACAGATTGTTTTTTTCAAGCTGGAGGTAACTTGGCACTTTGCTGGGCAATCCCTTCCAATGCCTGACCATTAAGAAATTCCTGCTGCTGTTCCCCCTGAGCCTCCCCAGCCCACCCTGAGGCCGTTCCCTCTCCTCCTGTCCCTGTTCCCTGGGAGCAGATCCCAAATCCCCCCAGCTGTCCCCTCCTGTCAGGAGCTGTGCAGAGCCACAAAGGCCCCCCTGAGCTCCTTTGCTCCAAGCTGAGCCCCTTCCCAGCTCCCCCCATCAGACTCACAGTGCATAATTCCCTGAGCCTCACACAACCCCATAAACACTGAGGCACTTTGGGTGAATAACCTCGTGCTTTAGGTCACAGGCTCCTCCCCATGCCTGTGTGAAGCTGGAGCTGTTCCTACACTGAGCAAAACCTCAGAGCTCTGCCTGCAGCCTGGGGAGCCAGGATTAAATGAGCAACTCAGAGCCCTCGTGTGAGGAGCAGCCCAAGGAGGGCATTACTCCTCTCACCACTGTGTCCCAGGCTATTTCTGCTCCATGCCTTCCCACAGAGGTAAGGAATCCTGCCATCAGGGGCAGAGGAGGCCAGAGAAGCCCCCGGGGTGCTTACATTGAAGGCTCCCAGCAGGAAGAGGGTGGGCTGCAGCCCCACAGAGAAGATGAGGCGCAGGATGGTGGAGGCGATGAGGGCGCGGATGCCGTGGGGCTTGGGCAGCGCGATGACGATGGCCAGGGAGATGAGCATGGCTGTCCACAGCAGCCCCGACAGGTGGGGCTCCAGCGTGCCTGGGCAGAAGCAGAACACACCATTGCTGCACAGCCAAACCCACCAGAGCACTGCCTTGGGTCCTGTCTGGGTGGGCATCACCCACCCACTGCCTTGGGTCCTGCCTGCCTGGGCATCACCCACCCACTGCCCTGGGTCCTGCCTTGGTGGGGCATCACCCACCCACTGCCCTGGGTCCTGTCTGCGTGGGCATCACCCACCCACTGCCCTGGGTCCTGCCTGCGTGGGCATCACTCACCCACTGCCCTGGGTCCTGCCTTGGTGGGCATCACCCACCCACTCCCCTGGGTTCTGTCTGGGTGGGCATCACCCACCCACTGCCCTGGGTCCTGCCTTGGTGGGGCATCACCCACCCACTGCCCTGGGTCCTGCCTGCGTGGGCATCACCCACCCACTGCCCTGGGTCCTGTCTGCGTGGGCATCACCCACCCACTGCCCTGGGTCCTGCCTGCGTGGGCATCACCCACCAGAGCACTGCCCTGGGTCCTGCCTTGGTGGGCATCACCCACCCACTGCCCTGGGTCCTGCCTGCGTGGGCATCACCCACCCACTGCCCTGGGTCCTGCCTTGGTGGGCATCACCCACCCACATTCAGCATCACCTGAGCCTGCAGCAGCTTTAATTACAAATTCCTTACTAAATCCTTATGCAGGTGATAAGTGCTACAGGATCTCCATTGTGGTGCTCACACCTGAGTGCTGAGGGCCTTTGCAGCCCCTGTGCTGTGCAGAGGCAGTGCCTGGGCAGGTGAGGACACTCCCTGACACTGCCCCTTGATGTGCTTTTGGTCAGACCCTCACACCCATTTTTGGCATCTTTTGCTATTTCTGGGTCTATTCAGACCGTCCCCTGAGACTGGCTGCTTACACAACACCGAGCCTTGTAGCTAAAAATACACTTCCCTGAAAGAGCCATAAAAAATATCCAGCCCCAAACACCATTTACCCAGGTTGATGCAGAATGGCAGACACCTCTTCCTCAAAGCTGACTTAAAAAATTTTTGCCTTCAAGCAACTGGTTCTCAACAGACAAAAAAGCAAGATCCCCCAAATTTCACAGCCCTCTGCAGCCCTTGTGCAAGCACATCCTCACAGAACTTGTGTCTGACTGGCAAGATCCTCACCCAGGGCTTTTCCCCCCTGCTCCCAAATTCAGGCAGCTTAGGAAATATTACTCTCATCTGACTACCACGAGCAGCCATTTAATCTTGTTCCAAATCACTGCAGATTAATAAAGACAGCAGAGGATGGATGGAAATTAAAAGTTAATAAGCGTAAAGTTGAACAGCTGTTTTGGCTGCCTGGGGGGAGTTTGGGCTCCTGTGCTGTCACACAGCACGAGGTGCAGAGCTGGCAATGGAGTCACTGGGTGGGAACAAGCACCAGCACGGGGAAGGACACAGGAAACGTGCAGCAGCTTATTTAGGAACGACTTATCTAGAATCTGAATAAGATTTATTGAGAATTCATTTGCTTTCAGGAGTTGCAGCAGCTCGCAGCAGGCGTGAAGAACCCCTGGAGTGAGTGAGGCTCCCAGGGGCTCCCTGAACAGCCAGGCTGGGAGCAGCACCCTCATCCTGGCACACGGAGCTCAGGGTGGTCACTGCTCCCCTGCTGCACCCACCCTGACCCCAGGGCCTTGCTGGCACTCCCTGCACAGCCACAGGGAACATGCAGCCAGCAGGGACTTCTGCCTGCCTCTGGAATTCTCACCATTCCAGCACCAAATTCCAGGCATCCAGTTTTGTTTCTGCTCCTCAAGTCAGAAGTTTTACAGCTTCTGCTACTGTCAGATGCTCATCAGCTGCTCAGTTCACCATGTCTGAGCAATTCAAGACACTGACAACTTCCCCCAAACAGTCTGTTTGGAAGAGACTTTTTTTTTTTTTTAAGCTAAATATAAGATACACATGTATTTATTTATTTTACTTTTTGGATTCTAACTAGGAGAGGAAGAGGTTTTATCAAAATGCTGGGAATGGGCTCCTCTTCCCCATCCTCCTGTGGTCACTGCTCCCCCTGGCAAGGCAGGGCAATGTCACCCACCCTAGCACTCACAGCCCTCCAGGAAAAGTCTGTGGAAAATGCCATTAATAAACTGCAAGCTCAAGGAAAACAACACATTCAACATTTCACCTATTTTTAGCTCCATCCTTAATTACAGGACTTTAGACTGAAGTAGAACAGTCAAGCAATTAGAGGAGGATGTTTGTCTCAGGTAATTTTTTCCCCTAGGAAAAAGCATGGCTCTACATTTTCCTTAAAAAATGTCTTAAGAAAGAGTAAGAGAACAGCAGAGTTTAAAACAAGGCAATGTAAAAAGCCAAATTCTGTTCTCCTTCCCCCACTGATGTAGTGCACAGACACGAGTGGGGAGAGCAAAATTTGGCTCATTATATCTTATTTGTTCACATGTTTTTTAGGTTAAATTTCAGTACCTCCTCGAATTCCCTTGAATGGGTAGAAAAATGCCACGAGCAGGTTCATGAGGACAGCCAGGTTGAAGGAAATGCTGCTCCAGAAGGACATGTTCCGAGCACACCAGTACAGGAAAGGCTGAGCTGAAAGAGACAAAATCATTTCTTTTTAATGGAGGGTTTAGTAAAAATAAGAGATCTCTATTAAAAAAAAATATATATCACCACCAAAACAAGTTTGTTTTCAGTTTGCCCAAAAGCACAGCATCAAGAGTAATAACATTAATGGCTAATTCTGAAGTTTTTTAAAATTATCCTTCATCCTGGGGGCCCTTGAAGTTTCCTAGATGGTGTTTTAAGGCATGTTTCAAACACCATTAAGATGGTGTTTTAGACATGTTTCCAACATGGTTCAGCAGCAGCAAAAGAACAAGCTGAGGAACTGCAGAGATCAAGCACCTGAGGTCTCCCCTAATAACACACTTGGTACTCAGAGTCACACAAGAACAATCTGGAGGAGGAAAATGAGCTGCAGCCCCGTCCCTGCCAGCAGCTCACCTGCACCAGGCAGTGCCACCTGCAAATTCATTTTCTGCTGACAACAACCCAAAATAGCCCCAGAATAAGCAGGGGGTGAAGCTCCCTGGCCTTCCCTCTGCCCTGGGGGCAAAGGACTCAGCACATCTCAATGTACAACCAACAGCACGTTTAAATCCTTAATGTTGCCCAGAAATACTTCTCAAAAAGACTCCTAATTTTAATAATCCCTGCAGCCAGAACCAAGAGGCAGAAAGCAGAAAGATTCCTTTGCTGGAGTGGTCGTGAACCCAACAAAGCTGCCTTGCAGTAATTCCCTCTGCATCCAGGCAAAATCCCCCTGATTTTGGCTCCTGCAGGCTTTCTGCACAGCAAACTGAGTCCTCCTGAAATCCAGAGCAGTGAAAAAATCAATTTAAAATGCTCTCAAAGGGAAAGGACTGTTTTGCCCTGGTGGAAGGAGGCAGCTGGTTTAGATACCAGAGAGCAAAGAAAAAGTTCTCAGTAAAATTTAGGAACAAGCTGAAAATGCAGACTTTTGGGGGAAGGATAATTTATAACATGCAGCAGTTCTGAGCCTTGCAGGAGCCACCACCTCTCCAGAAAATGCCCTCCTCTAACACCCCCAGCTAACAAAGGGGTAAAGAATTCCACAATATCTCAATGTTCTCAATTTCCCTTTAACTGGAAGAATGTGTAACCAGATTTAATTAATTTCTATGGGATTATATAAGGGTGATTATAAAGGTCCAGGTTTAACTTTAAACCTTCCCTTGGTGATGGACACTGACTCTGTCTGTGCAGTGCTTCTGCCTGGCTTTGGCAGCTCATTTCCATTCTTAATTAACAATTAAGAGACTTCTGGTGCTCAGACCATGAGCTGAAGGGAGAAGGACATAGATCTCTATTTTAGAAGTCTTTTTGAGCGTTGAACAGACTCTAACTGGCATCATGTGAGCACACACAGTGCTGCCAGAGGTCACAGCTCCAACACAAACTACTGAAAACGTGAGAAACAACTCTACAAATGCAAAAAATCAGAGGACGGGCAAGGCCTGGATATTAGAGACAGAATAAATGATCCCAGTTTTTTAAAGGAAAAAAAAAAGAAATATTCTCCAGTTCTGCAGGTGGATCTTGGCTAATTTGTGGCCTGTTGCACCTGTGTTCAGACATTTTAGCATCACAGGGATGGAAGGGACTTGTCAACCTGTCAGCCAGTCTACTTGCCAAAAAAGGATGAATTCTACTTTACAATTACACAGAAATCCATCTTCAACTTGTTCTTGAACATCTGCATCCCTACAGATGCCACAAGTCCACAGAATCTTTATGGTTGGAAAAGGCCTTTACAATCCAACCTTTACAATGTCCAACCTTGCTGCATTTCCCAGCCTTACTGCCCCCTGCATCCAGCACTGCTCTCCTCAGCTGGGTCCCCCCTGAATCCCGAATTTGTTTTCACAAACAAGGTGTGGGTTTGCTGGTAGATAAAACTAGTACTGGGAGATAAATAATGGGAAGGATTTCACTGATTGATGAATGGAGAAAGATATTTGCTTTTACAGATAAACTTTAGGTTTCCTGATAAAGGAAATTGGACATTGAAAGATGAAAGAAACAATGGGGAAGAATAATTCTTACAGAATTTAAGAGTTTAAAATTAAAAGGGAGCGTTATACATTAGAGGGAAATTTTCAGTATCAGGTGGATTGAGGAGTTTGTATTTTTTAAGTCTTTTAGTTAATGGGGAAAGAGAGAAGGGAAACGCAGCCAGGAAATTGGGATAAGAAGGAGGCTGCATCTTCCAAAAACTGGAGAGATTTCAGGGGATGTTTTCTTGCTTCTCTCTTTATTGGAATGAAGCCTCATTGCTGCGCCCCACGTGGAGCAGCACTGACCCACCTCGCAGTTTCTTCTGCCAGTTCATCTCGTTGAAGAGGTCCTCAGACTTGAGGAAGAAGTCGTTGATCTTGCTGCCCTGCTCATCCCTCTCGGTGGTGTAGTAGATGCGCAGCTTGGACTCCTTGGTGAGGAACTCGCAGATGCTGGGCACGGGGAACACGATCTGCTCCATGGTGCGGTCCGACCTGACAATCTGCACAGCAGCCTCGTCAGCCCCTCGCAATGCTCTTAGCTCTTGGTTTTCTGCTTGTTTTGCTCCCCCTTTCAAACCAGCTATGGACACATTTCCAAGGAACAGCAGCTTGACACAGATGGCATTTAATTTACCTTTCAGGGCAGGTCTACGTTTTGCTCCAGAATTGTAATTTTTATGCTGCGGTCTTATTCTGGCAGTACTGGTCTTAGCTGGGATTTCCAAGGGGCCCAGAGAATCCCACATCAAAGCTGAGATGGAGTTCAGAGCAGTGTGGTGGCCCAATTCAAGAATGTTGGCAAATTTGAGCCAAATCTGGGCAAGTACAAGGAACAGCAGTTCTATCTGTATTAGTTACTACAGAATTTTGGGAAGTCACAGAACCATGGACTGGTTTGGGTTGGAAGGACCTTAAAGCCCATCCAGTGCCACCCCTGCCATGGGCAAGGAAACCTTCCACTGTCCCAGGCTGCTCCAAGCCCTGTCCAGCCTGGCCTGGGACACTTCCAGGGATAGGGCAGCCACAGCTCCTCCAGGAAATCTCCGTATCTGTGAACATTTTGCTTTTAGAAAGCTCTTAGATGGCACACGAGGCCAAACTGTCACTTGAATCCAGGAAGAGTGGCAAAAAGCTATCACAAACTTTCTGGATTCAGCAACAGCACCGGCCAAAATGTAACAGAAGCGAAGCCACACTTGCTGCTGCCAAGAGAGCTCTGCTCAGCTCCATCCCCGAGCCCACACATGACAGCTCAGGAATAGCTGCCACTGCCAGGGAATTAAATAAATAACTCTCCCTGCATGTTCTCTAGCAGAGACAACAGTCCACACACACAGAGGCAGGCAGAGCACATGAACAGTGCCCTGGGGCTGCCCTGCCTGGGCCCAGCCCGGGCTTCCCTACCTCGATCTGTGCCGTGTGCTTGGCGTAGAACTCCAGCGCCTCGTCCCCCTCGATCTGACCCCCCGGCTTCAGCATGTTCTGCAGCTCTTTGTTGTGACGAGCCAACTAAAATAAAGGAATGCACAGGGAGTGGGAGACACCAGATGTCTCTCTGTGATATTAAATTCCTGATTTTTGGCATAAAAAAAGAAATAGTACGCAGTCAGCTGCTAGGAAAGGGCAAAGTTGACAGAAGGCTTGTTCTGTTCCAACCAGACACCCTGCAGCTCTATTTTGGGAGCAAGTCAGAATGATTCAAATATGTATTTCTTTAATGCCAGTGTTGTACTCCTCTTTTCCCCATTTGCCTGGAATCTTTCTGATCACACAGAAATTCACATTCACTCTGTCCTTCTAAACAACCCCAACCCAAAGGTGTGCTCATCACCCAAAGATGCAGGCAGGGACAAAGAGAAAATCTGCATCAACTGAGCAGAAGATGCACAGAGCACTGCTCCAAAATGCTGCTGGATGCTCCAAATTCATCCTGCAGCACAGTGAGGGTCTGTCTGCTCAGATGCTGGAGGAACAAGAAGTCTCTAATGCAGTGAGAGATGCAGCACCAATATATTAAGTAGATTTAGATCTTTCTCCTTTTGGTTTAGACCTTTCTCCTCTTTGGTTTTCTGCCTTTCAAACACACATTGTATCAATACAATGGCTCTGCTTGGCTCCAGCAGAGAGAGAATGTGGCAAGGACCGAGATTTCTGATTACACTTTAATTGATCTGTGAGTAGAATTTCTTTGGGAGTATAAAGTAACCTTTGATACAGCTGAAAAATAATACACTGCTGCTCAGTGCTGCCAAGAATTGAGCCACGTGTCCTCAGGAGCTCGGTCCAGAGCCTGCCTGCTTCCCACGATAAAAGAAAATTCCCAAAGTTTTCTTGCATTATACTATTTTTGTTTCTGATTAAAATTAGGATTTGCTCTGATAACAGGAGAATGTGCAGTGAGTCTGCCTCAGCGATGAGCCACGAAAACAGTTGCAGGGAAAAGCAGAGTGGCTTTTCCCAGTTTGGCATTTGTGGTGGAACTCTACCTGATGGGCCAGGATGTAAATGTTGTGTCCCACGTTCCTCGGGGATGCAGCCACATCCTCCCCGTTCTCTCCATCCTCAAACTCCACCTCTCCCTGCAGATAGGCCTTCTTGATCACTTCCACCTGGAGAGGGAGACAGGCAAGGAGAGGAGGCTCAGGCAAAGGGTGGAAGCTGCTGAGGGCAGCACTCCATGGCTGGGAATGGAGCGGAGCAGGGACACCCAAAGGGAGATCAGTGGACAGGGCAGGATAAACTGAACTCAGCCTCAGCCCAGCTCACTGGCTCAACAAACTGAACCCCACGTTTCCCTGAAGGTGACACGTTCCAGGCCACCCTCTCTGCACCTGCATCACGTTCTGAGCTCCAACACAGTCCTGAGCACTGGGATGAGTCAATGGTGCTTGGGCTGTGCTTTGCATCTCCTGCTTGTGTTTCACCAGCTCACACGTGAACCAGCCCCAGACCCTGCCAGGGCTCACTGGGCAGCTCTGGGGCCACAAGGGACTGTCACTTCTCTGTCTCCTGTGCAAATGAAGAGCCAGGAGCTGGGGAGGGGTCCCGGGACTCACCAGCTCCTTGGGCCTCATGTTGTAGAGGATCCTCTCTGCGTTCTCACTGTCGTGCCTGCTCTCCATGATGGCCAGGAGCAGCTTGGAAGCGTTGTTCTGAGGGCAGGGAAAAGCAATGCAATCACTGCCAGGAGCCACAAAGTGGGGGTTCCCAGCCCGAGTGGCACCACTGTGCTGCCCAAGGGCTGCAGGGTCCCACAGGAGCAGCCACTGCAGGCACAGTGTGCCAGGGCTCTCACAGCCTCACCTCACCATCCCTGCCTCTCATTACTGACCTACACAACAGGTAATTTTAGCAGTTTATTCCCCAAATCCTACTCATTGAAAGGCATCAAATTAACCCCAGCCAAGGTTTAAAATTCTAAAAATGCTGCTGTTTTCATGCTCGTGTTGTTTTGTTTTGATTTAAGGATGCTGCAGCATCGCCACAAGCTCTGAGCTCCCAAATGGTGCAGCTCAGCTCTGCTGAAGATGCTGCTGATTAAATCAAGGGACAGCCAGGGCTGAAGACACAGATGTGCTTTGCTGCTTTTAACCGAAATCACTCTGCAGTCTGCTCACGCCAAGGAACACGGGGAGGAAATGGGAAACTACCACAAGGCACCAGACTACTTTAATACGAACAATTAAGATTAAAATCCATCATGCCTGACAATAAAACCCAATAAAAGTATTTAATTTTGAAGTATAACGCTAATCGAGTCTAAAAGCATTTTTTATTTACAATAATAAAAAACCCACATTACCCATAATAATGGTGTGAGTCGGCAACGGAAAACAAGGAGACACTGCAGTGTCAGGCAGGGCAATAAGTCAGAAAGGAAATATTTCTCAAGCACAGGCTGAAGCAAGAGTGCTCTGGGACTGCTGTTGCTAGAGGGGAACCTGCCCCTGTGTTTTTGTGTTTTGAAACCAGCAGCAGGGCTAATTATTTCAGCATTAATATGGACAGCCATAAAGAATTGTTGATTTAATGTCAACCTATTAAACAACACCAATAAAGTGTTGGGAAAGTAGTTGCAACATGAGAAATTTCACTTCCACTGTCCACATAAAAGCTCAGCAGCAACAGAAGAGTTTTCATCAGCTTTAGATTTTTTACAGGAAGTGATTTTAGGATTCCTCAGCATACTCTGACTGCCTTGCATCCCCCATCTGAGAACTGGTGGCTCCATGTCATCATTTAAAAGATGAAATATCTGTGACAAACAATCTTTGGGCACTGCCTGCGGCTCACTGATGTGTATCATTTTTGTGCACTTGTGAATATTGGGATATAACAAACACCCACATCATTTTAACAGTAAAATCACATTTTATCCCACTGTTAACGTGCCTCACACAGAGCATTCACTTGCCTTCAGCTCCAACACGAGGTCCATCCTCTTCTTTCCCAGAGGGTTGATGTCATTGAGAATTAATGCTGTGATGATGTCAATGCCGTTGGACTCGTGGGTAGCAATGCAGTTCTGTCCAAAGAAAAGCCATCAGCCTTCACTAATTGCCTGCACTGCACACACACCTGGGCTGGTGACCCTCAGAGCAGCACAGTCCCCTCTGTCATCACCTCGTGGGCTGGAAAGCTGCACACAGAGCTCCGGGCAGGGCAACAACAAAAGACTGAAGGCATTTTGTTCCAAGCTTTTCCTCTCCTCAGCCACGGTCCTGCTGGAGCCCCGGGGCTCAGGAAGCAGGAGGACCACAGCTGATAAATGAAGCATTTCCATGCCAAAGCTGCAGGCTGGAGGAACAGTGCTTTACTGAGATTAGGGAGAGTTTTCTTTATTATAAACGTGCCAATCAACACCTACTTCAGAGCTGTCTACACAAAGAAAGGGAATTTCCATAACCTCCTGCCTACCCTTCAGCCCTGCTCTAGGAATGGTCTGTACCTAAAATGTACAAACAGCAGCTTGCTGGCTTCAACATCCAGAGACACATTCCTGTTCTGTCCTCAGAACACCTGAAGGGTTTTATTCCACCTGACCCAGAGAGCAGAGGGACACCGACCATTCTCCCTGGCAGGCACAGCCTCACATGTTTTCTTGCAGAGACAAAGGCAGAAAAGCCACATCCCAGTCTTTGAGGACAATATTATGGTTCAATTATAAGGAACTGGAGACAATAATCAGAAACTGGCACAGGTGCCCAGAGCAGCTGGGGCTGCCCCTGGATCCCTGGCAGTGCCCAAGGCCAGGCTGGACATTGGGGCTGCAGCACCTGGGACAGTGGGAGGTGTCCCTGCTGTGGCAGGGGTGGCACTGGGTGGGATTTAGGGTCCTCCCAACCCAACCCATTCTGGGATTATATCAAGTACAGCAATTCCCCACTCTCCCTGTCCAGTCTAATGAAACAATCTTAGCAAAGCAGAAATAATTCTACTGCTCTGAGTGCTTCAACTCCTCAGAGGGGGCCCTGAGAGACAAGTTGATTATGAGGAGTTTATAAAGGAAACAATCCTCCAGCTTGGGGGGGAAATAAAGTGGTCAGTGTTGTGAAACAGCAGCAGGCCAGCAGAGCTGGGGCTCAGGGAGAAGGGGGATGCATTTCCCAGCTCTGGGTTCATTACCTGGTTCTCGTGGCAGGGCCCCTGGCAGTACTCAGTCAGACTTTCCAGCGTCTGGTTGATCAGTGCCACGTTTTTCTCGTTTATGTACAGACCCAGCAGCCCAAGTCCCCCAGTTGTGCTCCCACAGATGCAGTCCAGGAACTGCAGAGTCTCACACACCAGGTTGTAGTTGGTCTTGTTGTTCTGGCAGCGTAGGAAATTCTGTGGGGAGAGTGTCAAAGCCATGAGGGAGGGGAAAACCATGCAAAGTGCTGTTTAGCTGATAGTATTTATTAGGTTCATCCATCCCCAACTCCACAGCATGGTGGATTGCTCTGGCTCGCTGTACAAGCAGTTTTAGCCTCTTTCCAAGGCTTATTTGCAATGTGCTGCTCTCCTGAGCAGCTTGCTGGCCTCTTGCTGTACAGCAGAGAACAGAGTGCATCCCCTAAACACAGAGATGCATTAGAGGCTGACACACCCAGCCCAGAGCAGGCACTCTGGGAAGCTCTCTGCAGCCTGGAGGCCTCACCCAAAGCTGCACTTCCCTGAGCATCACCAAGGCTCCCTCCTCCCTCCCACACCTCGCTGGGGCCGCACAGCAGCTCCACCTGCACAGAGGGACCCGAGTGCACAGCTGGAGGGAAGGTGCCTTAAGATGGAATTCTCTCCACTGCTTTTCTTTCCATGTAATTATTGGGATTCCCGCTTGAAGCTGCTGACTAGGAGCAGCTCCTCTAATGAAAAGCCAGATTTGCCACTGTGGATTTAACAGCTTTCTGCTGTTATTTCTCCTATATTCCAAATGAAGAAAAGCACCAAACCCACCCAAAACTGAAGGACAACTAATGAAAACCCATCTCCCAGTGATTCAGATGTTGTTTGCCACTGCATTCCCAGCAGTGCTGCAAAGATTAGCAGCCAGTACCACTTGCTTTTCCTTCAAGTTTCAGCAGGAAAACTCTTATTTAGCTTAATTCTAGCAGGTAACAACAATTCCAGGGTGAAAAAGCCCTCAGAGGAACAGGAGCCATGGAGTAGGGAAGCAGCAGGGTCTTTCCTGCCAGCCCAGAGAGCTGCACTGTCCCTGGCTGTCTCTGCCTGAGTCAGACTAATGAGTCTTTTAAGGCAAACAGAGAGAGAAATTGCAGATTCAATGGAAGGCGAAGCTAAAAAAGGAAAACGCTGTCTATGAATGCAGACTAAAGGTGACAGTGATTCAGCACATTTCAGCTGATTGCTCATTTAGTATCCTGACTTCTGATTAACTTGTCAGAATGCAAAAAAGGTTGATCCTACAGAAATTGGAGCTCGTGCCTTCCCTCCAGGAAAAAAGGCAAAATGAAAGGATGATACCCAAAGTGAGGAGGTAAAAATGCTCCCTGGCTGCAGCACAGCATTTATTCTGATTGCAGCTAAGCCTGTACCTGAGCTGCTTGACCCACAGTCAGCAAGGAGAGAAGAGGAATGAGGCACAAGACATTGCTAGGCTGAAACAAGGGGAAGGAAAAAATTGTACAAAGCAAACCCCTGGTGCACTGTGAGAAACTGCCCCAGGGAGTGTCTGCTGCTGTCTCTGCTGCTGTCTCAGCCAGGACAGAGTGAACTCCTGATTTTCAGTCCCCCAGAGCACCTCAGGGTGGGAACACAGCTCTGCAGTGCTGAGTGTGCCAGCCCACTGCTCCCTGTGGGAATGACCCGGGGTGTGCAGACCCTGCCCCAGGAGCAGCAGCCACGGCAGAGCCATCCAGAACACCTGGGAGGCACCCACTGCTCATGTCAGCCCTTACATTCATTGGGGAGGGCACTGCAGCTCCTCCAGCTCCTCCTGGATCCAGAGGATCCATCCAGAACACCTGGGAGGCACCCACTGCTCATGCCAGCCCTTGCATTCATTGGGGAGGGCACTGCAGCTCCTCCAGCTCCTCCTGGATCCAGAGGATCCATCCAGAACACCTGGGAGGCACCCACTGCTCATCCCAGCCCTTGCATTCATTGGGGAGGGCACTGCAGCTCCTCCAGCCCCGTGGAACAGCACCCACATGGAGCAAACTGGGGCTGTGCTGGGAAGGGCTGCCTGATGCAGAGGGCACAGCACTGCAGCTGCCCGAGCACCCAGAGACCTCATCCTCCTCCTCCTCCTCAGCACAGCAGCTCCTCCAGCAGGACTGGCACTGCCCTGTGTTTGCCCATCAGCCTGGAAAGGCCGGGGGTGCCCAGCACACACCTGCACCAGGCAGCTGATCCCAACTCTCTCATTCAAATGTAATGTGCAATTCCTGGAGAGCCCTTCCCTGGGACATTTAGGCAGCGAGTCCTCTGGCACGACGGCAGGGAGCTCAGTTACATGTACCAGCTGCAGACACCAGGATTCTGGAGGATCAGACACTTGTGCCTTCCCTTTGGGGCTGAGGGAGAAGGACAAACCTCGAGGCAGGCGGGCAGAAAGAGGATTACACTGGAAAAGCCGCTCTACCTTTTTTTCTTTGTTGTTGCTACAAAAAGCAATCCCTTTTTCTCTCAGAGCTGAATACAGCTACCTGCTGTTTGGGAAATGGGATTGTTGAGGCCAAGTTTCTGCCCTGGCTGGGATCCAAGAGCGCTCCTATAGCTGCGGGTGCTGGCCAAAGGCAGCAGCGGATCCTGCGCGTGCGGTTTGGAACCGCGCCACGGAGCGGCACCGCCAGCGGCACGAGAATCCTCTGACAAAACACACATCAAAGGGCTCTTTTCCTTCAGAACCAGAGAAAGGCTGATGGATGGAGGTAACCTGGGCGCTCAGAGATGCTCCCAGAGGGTTCCGTGCAGCTGGGATCCCACTGCTGCCCTGTCGGGGCACTCCCGCTCAGAGGAAGCGACCTGGCAGCGCTGCAAAGCTCTCACAGGGTCCCACGCTCCTGCCGGCCACGGAACAATGGGCAATCAAGGCAATTATTGCTCTTTCTCAGGGCATTTAGCACATTGTGCAGCGCCTCACCAGCTCCTCCATCCCAGCCCGGCAGCACTGAACATAAATCATCTGAATCAGAGCCCCTTTGTGAAGGGGAACCTGCTCTGGGCTCCCTGAATTGTACAAACACGTCCCAGGGCAGCACAGGACACCGAGGCTGCCAGGACCTTTGGACACTGCCAGCTCCAACCCCTGTCACGAGGCAGCTGGAGCAGAGCCTGGCCCGTCCTCTCCACATCCCCCATCAGATGTTTGCACACATGGGGAGAGATCCTGAGCCTGCTCCTCTCCAGCCTGACCTCTCCCAGCTCCCCCTGCCTCTCCTTGCCCATCAGATGCTCCAGTCCCATGGTCACCTCTGAGACTCCCTGCTGGACTCAGAACCCAGGACTGGAGCCAGAATTCCACACGGAGCCAGGGGCATCCAGCTTGTTCAGGTGCACATCCAGCTTGTTTAGATGTTTCCCATTCCAATTCTCCACCAAGGGTAAGACTCTCTTGCTCCAGACCTCACCAGGGTCTCAGGGATGTAGGGTTGGTGAAGGCCAGTCCTATCAGTAAGGGGCAAACTGAAGGTGGCACTGAGCTCCCTGACCTTCTCCATGTCCCCTGTCACCAGGGTCTGTCCCCATCCCACGGCAAACCCATCTCTGCCTAGCTCCTCCTGTGTGGACACAACTTAGAAATCTTTCTCATTGCCCTTTGTGTCCCCCAGCAGATTCACCTCCAGCTGAGGCTTTCCTGACACCTTCACCATGTGTTCAACTCTAGCTAGGCACATGAACAGATCCAAGAAAATCCAGGAGAACCTGCTTACTGGAAAGTTAATCTTGAAGGCTGCTGGAACCAAAGTCCCAAGGCCCTCTTCATTTTCCTACATCATTTTTCTTTGTTTCTTTCCCTTATCTCTCAAAAGCAAATCAGTAACTTCACAGTACAACACCTGCTTGCTTTCAACATATACTTTTTAAAAGCCCCAAGAAGTGTTGATCCCACCACCTTTAATGCATGTACCCTTCAAAGACCACTGGATAACTGGATTTGCTCGGATCAGCCCAGCAAGGTGTAAGTACACTTTTTTTTGGATTAACATCAAGACCAAGGAGAATAATTGGTCACATAATCCATTTAAAAAGGCCTGGGGTTAGGGATAATGCTGTGGCAGCAGTGGGTGCACCAGGCACCCTGAGCACAGGTGCCCAGATCAGGCGGTACCTGCAGGTCCCGGTTGTGGTTCTCACAGAGCAGCTGCAGGAAGCGCAGGATGGGCTGCATGATGGAGATGACAGCGCTCATCTCCAGCTCGTCTTTGCTCTTGTCTGCTGCGGCCTGGGCCCCCTCCCCGGCCGAGTAGTGCTCCTCGGGGTCGGCCTCTCTCCGGTAGGTGTTGTAGGCCTTGCGCGTGGCCGCCGACGCCTCCAGCAGCTGGTCCCGCACCTCCTCGGTGATCTGGGTCATGGGCTCCCTCACTGCAACACACCAGCACACATCCTCCTCAGGCAAGCTGAATAAGGAGGGCCAGGAAATGTGTCCACACGGTCCCCTGGCAGCTTCACCCGCAGGCCCAGCTGATGAGCAGCAGCTCCTGGTGAGTACGTTTAGTGTAGGTGAGGGGCCCGTGCCACACTCCGCACCTCGTACACCAACCACAGCAGGGTTACACATCTGGGGATTAATTGGTTAGGGCACACACATCTAGCGCGAGTAGGAGTTATGGTAAAAGGACCTGCTTCAGAACAAAATTAGGATTTCTTCACTTATTGTTAGAGAAGGTACTGACCACAACCCACAGCCCGGGGTTGTTCCTACAGATCACATTTGGGCAGCTTGTCACGAGACAAGGCAGCAGAGTCTCAGCTCAGAAAGGCTTTTCCTCATTTCAATAGCACCTCCTCACAAATGGATGAAGAGGGGATGAAGCTCTTGAAATCCTGAGCCAGGGCACCACTGATCTCTGAACTTTGCTCTGTGGGATCAGAGATCAGAGCATTATTGCATCAATTGAAATGAGTTCAAAACACACTCCCTGTCACTTCAGAAGGGGAATGACTGGGGATTACCTCTTTTCCTGTTGGGGACATCTCTGTCCGAGTCTTCATCTTTCTTTTTGTTTCCTAAGTCACTGGTGTTGACTGTGACAGTCGCCTTGATTTCTTGCTGTGCCACTTTCATGCGGTCATAAAAAACCTTGAAGAACTTCTCAGATTTCTTATCTTCCGTCAGTCGGCAGAAGAAGGAATGCTAGAAGAGAAAAGGAACAGCATCTGTAGCTCCACACACAGTCTGAATCCAGACAATTCCACCTTTCTGCACTGTGGGCTATCCTGCAGGACTGGGAGCTCCATTAGCTGTCAGTAACCTGCAACTCACAGCAATGGAAACTTGGAGTTTATGGTGAGGCAGCTCCAATGTCTCAGCTTGGTTAAATCCTTCATTAACAACTTCAAATGCAGGTTTAAAGAGAAGTGAGGGCAATAAATCACACCAGCCTGATACAACTGGGCAGCACACCTCACTCTCAACAAGGGAGACAAGGTAAGTACCAGGAATTACGGTAAGAAGGGAATTCACTAAAATTTGATTATCAGTGCAGAAACAAAAGGGTATGGGCAAAATATAGAAGAACTGTCCTGCCTTCCCACCCTCAAATCCAAGGGACTGTGACTCACAACAGGCAAAAGCCAATGTTAATCACAGTCCAAAAATGCACAAACAGGGCGATGCTGTGAGGGACATCTCGTGCTGAGCTTCCCCTGCCCTGCCTGCAGAGGCTCCTTAAAACTGCTTTTAGTTCCCACTCCAATATATCTTTAAGTGACAGAAAAACTCAAAGCACTGACTACTTTTAAGAAGGTTTATTACTCTTCTTCTGCACATATGTGCACAGAGACAGAAAGTTCTCCCTAAAATCGAGGAGAATACAAATCATGCACAGGTCAAGAAGGAGCCAACACAGTGAGTGATCAGACAACTCTTGATGAAACCAATATGCTGTTACATAAATCAGGACCAGAGCTTAAACACGACTGAAGGATGAACTTGTAAGTGGGTCACCTTATGCAGAGCATTATGAAATTAGTTAGCATTCTGCAGCGGCTCGCCATCCAACAGCTTTACATGATGAATAGGAATGAAGGCTGATTTATTGAAAAAACAAATTAAAATGGGAACAGCAATATATCCTGCCCGCTCTGCTGTGGAGCACACGGGGCCGTGGCTGCTGCTGCCTTTGATCACTGCAGCAGCTGCACGGAGAACACACGGAGTGACTTTGAACACTCCCAGAGCTGTGCCTTTGATTACAGCCTGAGCAGCAGCGTGGCTATTTAAAGAACGTGGTCAATATTCAGGAGATATCCCTCCCACCACTGTAATACCTCCCACCTGCCCTTAGCACCTCAGGTAAACTCTGAAGATTGTGTTTATTTCTGGTATTAACAGAGAGGAGGGCAAGGAGAATAACCCAGGACAGACATCCCAAACGCAGTCACAGCAGTACCCCCTCCTGACACCCACCAGAGAGCCCTGCAGGACTCTGTGCCCTCTGCCCAAACACTGCTGGGCCTGTGGTGTGCCCAGTTCATTTATTAGCATTGGTACAACAAAAAATATCTAATATAAGACTTTGTATCAGCAATTTGAATGTTTTCTCACAATGTTTTCCCATGGCTTTAAACTGAATGAGGGCTGACTTAGATTAGGTATATTCAAGAAATCCTTCCCTGTGAAGGGGGTGAGGCTGACCAACAACCCCTCAATAACTGGGGGGTTGAGGCAGCCAAGCCTGAACTAACTCAGTGACTTGGTGGCTGCAAGGACAGAGAGGGGAAGAGTTTGTATCCAAGGAGCATCTTGGAAATTTCACTTTACAAAGACTACAATAGTAACAACAACAATAATTTACAGATAGACCAGCAGAAACCACAGGCTCTAAAAAGGCCAAACACTCTGAAAAATTTGGCTGTCAGGAAGCGATGGCCATGACCTGACTGTCACATCTGCAGAGCCCAGACAGGAGGAATTTCCCTGTGATGAAGCTGTGCTGAAGGAAAGCCTTTTTCTAATGAATCACACCAAAGAAATACCTTTTATGAGAGTAATTATTTCTTGCTGACAGACTTGATTTTTGTCGTCTTTTCAAGCTTTTTAACTGAGTTTCCACTGCGCTTCAGAGAAAAAACCCCAAATGAAAGGAGCACTTCCAGTAAAGCTTTTTGTGCATGCTGTGCATACACTGAAGGGGTGTCACCAAATGATTGTTTCAGTTTAGGTCAGGATGCCTAACACCTTCACACATATGAATCAACCACATGCCAGCTCCCAAAGTAACTGTATTTTAAGAGGTGTGATCTTGCGAGTTGCGCTCAAGCAGGTAACGGGTGGTGATAATTATGACAGAAATCCTAAAATCTTATTTACGGATATAGCCGCCAAGCAGAAAGTGGAGAACTCTCCCTTTTTAAAACGGAAATCGAGTGGCCATTTTAGAGCACCGTCTGCTGGGGTCCTGGCTTGTGTACAGACACCACCATGGAACCACAGGCTGCTGAAAGAGCAAGCGTGGAGGAACAGAACAGCCAACCTCCACACTCCTGCAGGATTCTGAGGAACAGAGCTTTAAACACAGCCCTGGCACTGCAGCATCTGACACCAGCCATCCCTGAGGGCCCACTCACCATCACACTGGGGTCTGGGAGCTCCTAAACCCTGCTGCAGGAGGGAACTGTGTCCCATAAGGAACCAGCAGGGGCTGTGTCTGTCCCAGTAGGAAAAAGCTGTCTGAGAGGTGGTGGAGACACAGCTCCATGTGGTACTGGAGACATGGGCAGTGGAGGCCAGAGAGGTATTTGTGACAAGGGCATGGAGGGACACAGGGAATGGCTTCCCACTGCCAAGGGCAGGGTTAGATGGGATTTTGGGAAGAAATTCTTCCCTGTTAGGGTGAGGAAGCTCTGGTCCAGGGTGCCCAGAGAAACCACGGATGCCCCTGGACCCCTGGAAGTGTCCAAGGCCAGGCTGGAGCACTCTGGGCTAGTGGAAGGTGTCCCTGCCCATGGCAGGGAATTGGAAGTAGAGGATATTTAAGGTCCCTTCCAACCCAAAGCATTCTGGCATTCGCACATTGTGAAACGGCATTTTATCTCAACCTTGCATTGCTAATGTCTGTTAAGTCACCAGCCCTGCACAGGAGCCATGGCAGGGCCACAGCAGCTTGGGGGGTTTGCCCCACAGACCCAGGCTCAGCAAAGAGCTCTGCAAGTGCCCCCAGCCCAGGGAAGCCCAGCTGACCCCCAGAGCACAGCAACCTCCCAGGCACAGGAGCCACGGCTGGATAAAGGGATGGTGATGAATTACACAGCCTCAGGAGGAAACACAGACCCACCCCTCGTGACAAGAGTGTCTGACAGGACAGATACTCACTGTGAGCAAGGACATCACCACAGAGCCCTCCATCATTTCTAAGGAGGGAGCAACCAACCACCTCCACAAAGCACACATGCAGTGATGCACATCAGCACAGAGATGCCTGAGCTGGGTTCTCCTTCCATCCCCTTGAAACATCCACTGATGGTCACTGTTCCAAGGGGATGGAAGGAGAAAAGCAGCCACACCACTGCTCCTCCTGACATCCAGACTAAAGCACCACAGAGCAGATCAACTGAAAACACCAGCTACCAGGAAACCTGTGAATGACTGCCTCTCCCCTCCATCACCCAGTTCTGTTCCCAGGGGACTCCAGAAGCCTCATGCCCAGCAGGACATCCCCCTTGCACCTCAGTCCCTCCAGTGCATGCCCCTGGGCCAGAGGAGGGCAGTAAGTAAATCCCACCATCACCTCTGACTTGATCTCCTGGTGCATGACACAAGGCAGAAGAAGAGCTGCAAATCCAGAGATGGATTTCTCTGGAAAAGAAAAACCAAGGGCCAAGTTCCAATTGCAGGACCTTGACCAGCTACAACCCTGCCCACCCTGGAGCACCAGCAGCCCCTCAAGCTCCCCCACTGACTCTGTGTTTCATGTGTTTTTGAGAAAATAATCCTGTCTTTCTTGAGCAAGTGTCAGAGATGATGAACTACATCTCTCTATGGTCTGTTCCAGTGGTTAACAACTGTTAGAAACATGTGGTTAAGCTCTTCTTTATGCCCCTAACTTCCAGTCACTGATGTTTTTTTAAGCCTGTGTCTTTTCTGTAGTTATTCCCAGGAACTTGGTCTCCTCTTCCCTTCTGACTATTTACATACTCTGTGAAATGTTTACCTAACGTTTCGTGCGAAACTGAAAATACCATTTTTGCTTGCTGACTTTTTATTCAGCATTAATATAATTTTCTGTGGTGGGTATTTTTTGGCATGTTCTTAAATACTGCAAATCATTAACAAGCTAGATTGTAAAACCACATTAAGAAAAAATAAATCACTTAAGGATGGGCACATTTCCTGGTATTAACATTTAATTCTAAGACCTTTGACATACATAATATACAAAATTTCTAATGATGAGTGGAAAAGAAGCTCAGCTAACTCCCCAGCAGTTCAGGGGGGCAGGATTATGGAGGCAGGATAACCACAGGGCAGGGACAAATGCTCCTTAACATGTCTCTCATACCAGCAGTGGGTAACAAATTGGATTTTAGCCAGAAGAACTGACATCTGTCCTGTGGAGAGTGAAACCACACAGCACAGCAGCCTGGTACCTTTGTGTAAGGTGTACAGAGGACACACCCAGGTAACTAATCCACTCTAAATGTAACCAATCCACAGTAAATTTAATGATGAGTGAGCTTGTGCCCAGTGTAGGATTTTTAAATGCGAAAAAGACCCAAAAAGAAGCAGAAGCTGAAGGCAGCTGATTTCTAGCTTGTGCCTCTGAAAGCCTCGCCACTTTGGGCTGTGTGTGCTGCTCCTGTACTGGGAACACCTTTCCCTGCCCTGTCACCGGGCCCTGCCCACAAGCCAGGACGGTTCTGCCAGCCAAGAACAGGAACAGCACTGAGGTTGTTCCTCGTGGAACACCGGGATGGTTCCTCGTGGAACACCGGGGCTGTTCCTCATGGAACAGTGGGATGGTTCCTCGTGGAACACCGGGGCTGCTCCTCGTGGAACACCGGGGCTGCTCCTCATGGAACACCGGGGCTGCTCCTCGTGGAACACCGGGATGGTTCCTCGTGGAACACCGGGATGGTTCCTCGTGGAACACTGGGGCTGTTCCTCGTGGAACACCGGGGCTGTTCCTCGTGGAA